CCGCGTTGCCCTGCGGCCGGTGGGACCGGCACTCCAGCCCTGAGCATCCCTGCGTCCCCCCCGGAGCGACCCTGAATCCCCCCGAGCGTCCCTGCATCCCTCTAGAGCATCCCTATGTTCCCCCTTCCCCTCTCAACCCGGGAGCATCCCTACATTCCTCCTTCCCCCGCAACCCGGGAGCGTCCTTGAATCCTCCCAGAGTATCCTTGCATTCCCCACAGGAACACCCCTGCATCTCCCCAGAGCATCCCCCCAGGGTAAAGGCCATGGGGAATGCTTACGGTTCCTGCCTCGGGGTCTCTGCCTCAATGGAGAGGAGTGGAGGTCAAGGCTTAACTTGTCTTTTAATCAGAGGTCGGCCAGGAGTGGTCTCCGGGCAGGGGGAGGAAAGAGGGTGATGCCCTTGACCGTGCCCCTCACTGGCAGCAGGAGGAAAAGGTAAAGCTGCCTGGGAGCAGGCGACTCTTTACCAAGTGGCCATGCCACTTGGTCTGCAAACCAAGGAGTAGCCCTTGCCCACAGTCCCCAGCTCCAGGGGGATGATTAATGCTCCCTCCACTTGTTTAGCTTTTCATAGCTAAAGAGAATAACTTTTGTTTGAGTACTTTGTTCAGTTGATGATACTCCAGGATGAAGTTACCTACCACTGTAAAACCCCTGTGTGTGGTGCCTGCTCCAGACTGCAGGAGTGGAAATGTCTTCATGGGTGTCGTGTCACTGGGGTAGGATCAGCTCACCACAATCACCATCTCTGGAGAACGGCATGGGGACGTGCAGAGCAGCAACACTGGAAACCAGAGAAGGATACTGGCTGGAGACCCTGGCCAAATGCCTTTCTTTCTGGGGAAGTCTGACAAATTGTGTACGTCTTTGAATAACAGAGATCAAAAAAGCAAAGCAAGAAAATTGTGCAAACCCAGAAACATGCATGAAGCTAATGCCCAGGCGGTTTGCTGCCTTCTGATTACTCCAACAGCTATTTTCACATCAGGAACCGTTAGAGCCTCAGAGAATTCCTCTTCAAACCCACCACCACGGCCACTGTCTTGATAGCAGATGCTGATCCTGCTGGGAGGAGGCTGAAAGGACTCTTTTAAATCACGGTAAATCATTTGCAGCCAGCAGAGCCGGGAGGTGAGAGCACCTCTCAGCACGGCGCAGGCAGGGAGCCTGCCGAGCACTCCCGCAGGGGTGGCCTTTGGTGGCACCCACCAAAGGGTGGCCTCCAGCAAGGACCAGCCTCATCCTGTCCCTTACCTTGCCTGAGAACACTGAGACAACGAAAGGACTCTTTTAAATCACGGTAAATGGTAAATCATTTGCAGCGCCGGGAGGTGAGAGCACCTCTCAGCACGGCGCAGGCAGGGAGCCTGCCGAGCACTCCCGCAGGGGTGGCCTTTGGTGGCACCCACCAAAGGGTGGCCTCCAGCAAGGACCAGCCTCATCCTGTCCCTTACCTTGCCTGAGAACACTGAGACATGCTGGCTCCGCATTTAGATCCGGGCTTTCTTTTTTCCAGGTGCTGTGCGGGGGCAGTGCAGGCAGGCTGTGCCTGATGGGCAGGCAACTGGGCAGGCCTGCAGCTGCCTGACGTGGTGTGTCCCCTTCCTCAGGGAGCCAAGTGTCCCCAAGCCACTCCATGAAGCAGAGGACTCGGTCCCTGCCGCTGCCGCGTCCCAATGGAGGATGTCACTGTGGGCTCTGGGAGCCGTGGGCGGGAGAGCGGAGGATGCTGTGTGTGCAAGACACTCCTGGATAATGGCTGGAGGGTGCAGTGCGCCCCTGGGAGGCTTCGAGGAACTTGGTGTGTGGCTTCAGCGCTGCCTTGAGGAAGGTCAGATTTAACCACACACCCGACTGAATTCCCACCGGGGTGGTGAGCAGCCCAGCTATGCAGCTGCAGCATGGCCGCAGCGGAGAGGACCTGAATTTTGTGCATATCACCTCAAGTGTGATGGAGAAAGGGCTTTTTTTTCCCATAATGTTAAACGAACCCACAGACCACTTTCATTCTGTGACTGTTTGTGATCTGGTGTTATTTGTAATCTCTAGCTATTCAGACAATCATTAGTATTCATTGAAATGTTTACAAATTCCAAATCATTGTGTGCATGTTGCAGCATTATCACTAGGAGCTGTTTGCTGTTTGTTAGCTGTCATTCATTATTCACCATCCAGATAGAAAGCAGAAACCATACTTTGTACCTAAGGTAATGTATAAAGTGATTCGCAAAATGTAATGTGGACAAATCTCAATTATTGTTTATCCAGAGTAATTTGCCAGGAGTGTTAGATAAGTAAGAGATGACAGAACTTAACAGACTATAGTTTTCCTGGTCCTGATGTTTCTCTCTTGCTCCAGCAGAAGAAGAAATATATTTCTAATATATTTCAGGGAACATGCTATCTTGCTAATAAAACAAAGGAAATCACCCAGCCTAGAAGGGGTAGTTAAAGCAGGTTACATACAGACATGCAAGCAGATGGTACGATAGCTAACGTTTTGACCTGGCTTACGCAGTGCATATGCCACGTGTAGATATCCCATATGTTCATAAGTGCTTATATATGTTCATATAGGGTGTATTGGTCACCCTGCACTCAGCCCATGGGGTCCTCTTCTGGGATAGGAGGCCTCCGGAGCCTCAGAGCCTGAATACTGCTTAATTCTTGTGTAGATACAGAGGCCAAAATGGGACCTCGCTGGAGGGTCAGAGCTAAAGCTCAGCTATAAGCTCTCCTGAGAAGCAGGGACTGGGGACAGCAGATGCAGGCATCCCAGCCCAGAGTTCCCTCCCGAACCCACTCTCGAGGGCTTCTGCCCTGCTGCAGGCACGTCCCAGCTGGCTGCAGTGAGGCAACCGAGGAGCCACATCTCACAGCCTCGGTGCTAAGGTAATTCAGTGTTTCCTGAACGCACACGTGTGGCTCAGCTACACTAGCAGACAAGCCCTAGAAGCCCCCAGGAAGGGTGAAGAGCTGGGGGCAGCCCTGCTGCCACTGCCTGCAAAGCAATTCCTCTCCTGGGGGGCTCCCGAGCAAGGGGCCGGGAGCTCTCCTCCCCTCTCTGCTTCCTTCCCTACTTCATTTTTGAGAACGATTTAGCTTGAACACGAGTTCTGCAGACCTTCTATATCTTTAAAAAGAGGCAAGGGTAATATGTGGCTATTTTAAGGCTGCTTTGTACTGGAAGAGAAGGCTGCACTTGAAAGTTGTGCATTCAAGCAGAGGATGAGTAAGAAGTGAATAACCCTCTTGTAAGGTGGCTGTTCTGGGGAGTTTCTCTATGATGTGAAGCCTTCGGGCTAAGAGACAAATGGCTTCTGCAGCCTCCTGGTGTTTAGGGAACTCGAGCTTTGGATGTAATTTAGCAGTTGGCCCTATCCTGGGTTTTGGGCACTGCAAAGTCTGCGTATTGCCACATCACAGAGCAGTGCCTGAGGACCTTCAACTGCCGCTGGCTTTGCTAAGCCTTGCTGGTGACCATTGCCTCTCTGCTTGGTACTGGTTATTGCGGGGAAACAGGCCATCGGTCTGACTCATGGGGTGCTTTGTGCATGCTTTGTATGCGTGTCGCTTAGTGCCACTTGCTTCTCTTTCTGTTGTTTATTATTTTAGTTTGGAGGTCCTAGAGGGACCAATTTGGAGTTTCCTTTGCGCAGATACATTTCCTCTGTTCAGCGTCTCATTATGTTTTCTCCTGTGACTTGCAGAATTGCACATAGATTTAAGAGCTGGACAGCAGAGATACAGAGAAATTCTGCCTTCTCAAAAAGCTCTCGTCCAAATAAATAGTTTCCACGTGGACTGATTATGCTGGCCACTGAAGACACAGTGCTGGCATCCGCTCTTCCCAATGAGGCACCTTCTTCGACAGGCCAGGTTTAATTCTCCTTGTTTCTAAAATTTAGCATCCTGTAGTTTTATTAAATCCCCATAATTCCCATATTATAAAAATACTATGGTTTTATTAAACACCCAGTTCAAGAAGTTTTTACTGTAACACTCGAGGGATTCCTTGAGCTACAAGGCATACGCGATAGTCCATGTCAAATCAGAGCCTATTATACATGCATTAATTTTGTCTTGGACCACTGTCACTGGTTACCTCATGCATTTATTTGCAATTCATGAAAATCTCAAGACGACATACACCAAAACACTGCATGTGGAGAACCATGCCACAAAACCTGTTTTGAGCTTCTTAGGAGTGCTGTAGAGATGCTGAGATTTTGTTAGATGCTTGTTCTCGTTCTTAGATTTTGTTAGATGCTCCTTATCTTTCTAATGAACCAAGAAATCCAGATGCGAGGAGTTGGGTTGCTCCCTGTTCTGGGAGGCATGTCAATACGTCTGTGATGAGGTAACTTTGTTGGCTTGCTTTGTTATTTTTATC